TTGGCGTCCAGCAATCTGGAATATTCCATTTGTTTGTATATTCTTTGCTATTATTTCCTACCATCGCTAAATTCTGCTTCAAGAGAGGCAGTTTATAATTTCTAAAACACATGCATTCTGTATACCTATGGTAATAATGATGGGCATATGCCTAGTAATTTGTCCCTTAACTTATGAAAATAAAAATTAATTTGCCATGTGTTTTTCTTTTCTGGTTTATAGAAAAGCGTACTATGGCTAGTGGAGGATTCCCTGGCTTTAATCCTGCAATCCTGTCCAAAAGAGAGTCATCTTTCAAATTGAAACAAAATCTGGAAAAAAAGAAATCTGATGTTGTGAAGAATGGGAGCAAAGAAAACATAAATGGAGAGACAGAGAAGCAGATGCAGATGTCAGAAAAAGATAATCCTGGTTCAGAAGTCCCTTGTTTAACTTCAGAAGAAAAATAATTCCACTGAATTGAAATTTAGGGACCAGAAAATAAGTGTCATGGCAGCTTAATGATTATTATAGTTTATAAATACTGAACATATGTAAAGATTGTATAGAGAAGACTTGTGATGTTCTCTGCAGCTAAGCCACACAGTATCCTGGCAGTTCGATTTGTATGCTAGTGTTGACCCTGAAATTCTGCACATACATATTGAAAAAGTATGATTTAAATATGGGATTACGGTTTCCCCAAAGCATACTCTGTTTGGTCTCAGCAGATGAAGAAGAGTTCTGGTAATGCTGTATCATATTATGGTATTAAAAGTTCTATCAGTTGGTGGCCACAAAGACTACTGCTGTAATATGCCAAGAATTGTAAAATATATTGTCTGAACAATTGAAATGTGTTATAACAATTGAGTCTTTTCTTTTTGGCAGTGTCATTAGTTAACCATGTCATTTAACTAACCTTGTATTAGTAACTTGAAAGGAAATAACCAGAGTTTATGCAGTGATTGTTGAAAATGTTATGTTCCTAATGTTAATGAGACAAATCAGCATTTAATAGAAAAGGTGACAAAGAAAGAAATTTGATGTTTGGTTTCATTACGCTGCTGATGTATTGCACTATATAATATAAACTTTTAAGCTGAATATTTCAGCTGCAGTTCCAAATTAAAATATCCTAACAAGTGACTTTCCAGCCTGAAGAGGAGAGGCCACTGTTTTCCTTGATAAGTGGCTCCCCCTTGTTTAAGTTTCCATAGCTAATATTGAGAAAAATGAATCTTAAGTGCCAGCTAAGAATTATTTTGAAAGACAGCAGGCAATGCAAAGCCAGATCTTATAACATTGTTACTATGTGTAAAGATAAAATTCTATTCCCATTTTAAAATTTCAGATTCTTCCTATTTAACTAAATCACAACAATCTGGAAAGTAAAATACAAAATAAACACAATTTTATTCCATTGTCATGTGATGGAGAAAGTTTCAGAGAGTATCTTTAAAAAAGTGGTGAGGCCACTGTTGCTTATAGCAAGGTATCCTTCTTTACATTGTTCCTTTATTGCTCTTATCCAGCAAGGTTTTGAAGCATGATGAAAATATTATAAAATGTTTTGAATCAGGACAGATACCATGTATATCCTATGAGTAATGATGACTTGATATACATCTATCAACTCTGAAATTGTTTCAGAGAAGTAGAAGTAATTATACTCTGAAATGGTCACATTAGGTGGCAGCAGCTAGCTGTTTTGGGCTGATTTTACAAAGACGAGAGTCTGATCTGGTTAGGATTTTGATAGGAGTTCATCACCCATATAAGAAGAAAATGAAGAAAAGGGAAGTATTGTACCTCATAAATGTAGACTTAGTATCTACTACAGGTGAAATGGTAAATACTTTCCATTTTTAGGGAGAAAAACTTTGACACGGTAAATTATAGGAAAGACAATTTCTGATCTAATGTTCCCCTCAGCATATTAACTTTATAAGTGCAAGGATAACCCTACTTTAACTTGGTATAAAATAGATTGAGAAATGAGTCTGCTCATTACAGGTAATTGTGATGATGATGATGAAATGGTTGCTAGTATATCATACAACAGTGAATCGAATTTTGCAGCATTTTAGGTCTCTTTCTTTTGTGTTTGTCCCTCTCAAATAATTCAAAATGTGTGGTAATTGCTATGTAGTCTCTTCTGCTTAATTTTCCTTTCTATATAATATCTCCATGTTACAAATATGTGGAATTTGGCAGAAGCCTGTCCTTTTTCCTATAGCATCTTTCAATTGCAAGGTTTCTGATATTGCTTTGGTGGCTGAAATTTTGCTCGCTCGTTAAGCTTCTCAATGGCTAGGCTAAAATATTGGCTAATTCATGCTTAATGTGTTTTGTGAATCCAGAGAATATTTACCTAAACAGTTGGATTAATTCAGTAAATCATGTTTCGGTTAGTATGTTATGTGAATGTAGCTAGTGTTAGTCAAAATTTCAATAGATAAATTAAGTCAAATGTAGTGGAGAAAAAAATTATTGGAATAGAAGCTTAATTACAGATTACCATATCAAATTCTATAAACCAGGAGTGATTAACTTTTTGATGAGACAAAATGTGTTTTGGGGGAACAAGGACTGTAGTGGGTAGAATAATGATGTACAATGGGAGAGATGATGATACAAAGTGGGAGATAGTGCTTCATTTGACAGGAATTTTCTTTGGTTTGGGAAGGTAAGTATTTGGAAGGTTATTTTACTATGTAATCTATTTCAGGAATTAGAAAACACAAATATATGTTTTATATTTAAAAACAGGAAATTGTGAAATATATTTGTTACTGTCTGGATAATTTTGGTTTAGTCATATAGCAACTACTACATCATGCTGTAAAAGAGTCTGGGGTCCACAAAAGAGTTTGGTGTGATATTGTGAAGTATTAGTACCACTTTATAAAGCCTTAGTAAGGCCACATATGGAATATTGCATCTAGTTTTGGTCACCACATTACAAAAAAGATGTTGAGACTTTGGAAAAAGTGCAAAGAGCAACTAAGATGAATAAAGGCCTGGAGATTAAAACATATGAAGAACAGTTGCAGAATTTGGGTATGGCCAGTCTAGAGAAAAGAAGATTAGGGGGGACATGATAGCAGTATTCCAGTATTTGAGGGGCTGCCACAAAGAAGAGGGGGTCAATTTATTTTCTAAAGCACCAGAAGGCAAGACAAGAAACAATGGATAGAAACTAATCAAGGAGGGAAGCAACCTGGAATTAAGGAGAAACTTCCTAACATTGAGGACAATTAACCAGTGGAATAGCTTGCTTTCAGATGTTGTGGGTGCTTCATCACTGGATGTTTTTAAGAAGAAACTGGACAGCCACTTGTCTGAAATGGTATAGGATATCCTGCTTGATCAGGGGGCTGGACTAGAACACCAAGGTCCTTTCCAGCTCTATTCTGATTCTGATATGCAGTCACATTACTGCAGGCTGCTCATGTGTGCTATGGTCAATATAACCTGAGTAGTAGCCAAGTGTACCTCCTATACCTACTGGTATGCAGTATTTTCTTTCAAATCCCAGTTTGTGATTAGTTATTTAAGAAAAAATACTGCATTCTTGCATATTAGTATAGTTTTCAAAGTGGCCAGTCAAACAACATGCAACAAAGAGCAAAAATATTCCCATAAAGTAAAACTCAACTCATTTTTTAAGAAACTTGTGCCTGTAACCAGAAAAGAAAAGAAAACTGAGGACCAGGTGAATTTTCCGAAGAACTAATGTTCCATAAAGAAACTTTCTCACTAGCTACTGGTACTTCAGAATTTCAGCAGATGGGTGTGTGAAAAATATGACAAGCTAATTTGTGAAGGCTAATTACAGGATTTTAGTTGCTTATGTATGTGGTTAAATTGGTTTAAGTCATTTTATTTCCAAGGTTTTTAAAGGAATAATTCAGAATTTTTTTTTCTATTTGACTGGGCAGAATCTGAGAGACATAAACTGGTTTTGTAGTAGAGCACAATTGCTAATTCTATTTCACATAATTGAAGTACAGTAAAACTGCATCCCAAGGAAGCTTTATTAAATCCAATTTAGGCTAACAATTCTTTTTTAAATTCAGGACTGTAAACTATTATTAATCACTACCCCAGTTACCAAGCTACATTCTGGAGTCTAGAATAATTTAAGAATATCCAGACCTTTTATTAAGCTGCGAGACCCTGGGCCATTCACTCTCTCTCAGCTATAGGAAGGAGACAATGGCAACCCACTTCTGAAAATCTTGTCAAGAAAACTGCAGGGACTTGCAGCTAATGCATGGGAAATGTCAAGTAAAACATCTACAGAGGACCCGGATGGTGGAGGCTAAATTTAAAAAATCACGTTTTCAAAATAACTAAAAATCCGTATTTACACAGCACAAGAGGAAAAAATCAATAACAGTTGAAAATGTCACTGCAACAAACTGCTATTAGGTGTGATTTTTTTTTCTCCGAAATTTTAAATCTCTTTGGCTTTATCTTCCCAAATTCCTGGTGATGGGAATTGTGTAGACAACTGTATCTAGGGAACTCTATTTCGGGGTGCTTGTTATAAATTACTGCAATAAAAATGAAAAGCCGACTTGAAAAATTACTCTCTCTGCCCCGTAAATAGCTGCAGGTCCCGAAGTGCCAACTTGAATTCCGAGACTCCTTTTGCACTACTTTTAACACAGCTGGCTCGTTGGGGACTGCCTGCTTCATTTGTCAGCGACAATTGTGCGGAACCGATTATGCTTAGGAAAGAGCCGAGCGCGTCTCTTAACCCTGGTTGAGCAATCTCTCCTCCCTCAGAGAGTCCTGTGACACGCGCACGCACAGGCTCAAGAACGGCGCTCTGGTGAAAGAAGAAGCCCCGGTCCCGGAGGAACAGCGGGGGAGCAGGAGGGGGGGCAGAGCTGACTTGATTGCGAGAAGCAACCCTTCCTCGTAGAAGGCGGGAACAGGCTTGGGCTGTCGTCGTGGCGATATGCTAATGTCGCCCTCGGCCCGCTAGTGAGCCAATGGGACCGAAGTGCGCGGTAGCGTCAGGCTCAGCCTGCGTGACGTCGGGAGGAGTGAGTCTGCTGCTGCTGTTGTCGGCCCGTGGGACGGGGGAGGGCGTGAATGACAAAAGTTCTGCGGAGCGTGTGACCCGGGAGTGTGGGCGCCTCGCTGCCGGCAGGTGAGGTACGGGTTTACCCAGGCAAACTTGGCGTGAAGAGAGCCGCAAAGAAGGCGGTGCTCGCTCGGTATTTCGGATTCGGCGTGGTGGGCGGCTGAGGTATCGTCGAGTGGCGTTTGCGGGCGCTTAGAAGGCCCCAGAACCTCGCACAAGACTGTGGGCGCCGACCGCGTCCAGCCCCTGCTGAGCGGAACAGTCTCAGGTTTCGGTCCGGTCACTTGGCTTTGCGTCCACATTGTGGCGTCGGCCGCCTCCCTCCAGCCTTGAGAGGTCGCTGGCCTGATGCTCGCTGGCCGGTGAAATCGGGTACATGAGCGGCCGCGATTTCCAGTCGCCTGCCCTCTAGCTCCGGAGGGGGACCGCGGTAAGCGCAGGATCCGGGACGAGCGCTGAAGGGATCGAGCAAAGGCAGAGCCTGTTTCTTCTTCTCAAAGCGGTGCGGTAAATGGAAGTGCCGGCAAGGATGCCCTGAGCGTGGGGACCGGAGAAGACAGGCGATCCTTTTTTTTTTTTTGGAGGGTCGCCGTCTCTTGGCCTGGTGGTAAAGCGGACGGGACTCGGGCCTACAGTGTTGCCTAAAAAGAGCACAGGTTGACCCAGCCTTGCTGCCCCTTCAAAGGGTTCTGCCATCTAGGCATGGCAGGCATAAAGGCGGGAATGTAAGCAACCACCTGAGTCCTCTAGGTTTCTCTGCATGCCCCTTCAGGGGAAGACAAGAACAAGGTATTTTGCTGCCTCAGGTAGAAAGGTGGATGGTTGCAAGGTCAGGCAGTTATTTAGGTATTGGAGGTGGAAACTACCATAAATATCTTCTCTCCCATTGATAATACAAAGTACAGTGCTCATAATAAATAACATACTGTTATCTTTTCGAAGCAACCATAATTGACTCTGAGACAGCTGATGATCCCAGCCTGCCCTACTGAAATTCCCAGAGAAGAGGACAAGCAAACAGAAATAAGCATCACTCTTCTCCGTTGTTACTGAGCTCAGTCTTTCCCATTATGTTGTCCAGAGCAAAGAGTGTGATGCCACCTCTGCTCATATGGTTTTATACTTCATTGAGATAGGGCATGTTTTTGACAATCTACTCTCAAATTTTGAAATGATTGGGATTGGAGGAAGAATAGGAAATGAGAAGATAAAACATAGGTTTTCCCTTTCTGCTTTTCCTCTTTGACCCCATAAGAGAGAACACATGTTCAGTTTAAAATGGATGCCTTAACCTTCATATGTATAATTGTATATATAATTATAACTAAAGTGAATAGTATTTATTTTTTTAAAAGGTTGTCCTACATCAAATTGGAAGAAACTATCTGGTGACATTCAGATAGCAGCTATAAACCCAAAGCATAGCAGCTTTCACAATATGAAAATACACAGTTGTAGATAACTGAAATGTTTTATTTTGTTTTAAGCCTGATACAGTATTTTTTGTTTAATTAATGCCACATATCTCAATGATGCTACAGAATTGACTTTGAAAAACCTTTGTTATTTCTTCTCCTTGCCCAACTTTGAAGATAAATGCACAGTGTACAGTAAAGTCTAATAAATACAGTGCATCTCTATTCATATTAGTTCTAAAGAATCATTTTTGATTTTATTAAAAATATATTTTAATCCAATATTATTATGCTTTGCAGTTTTTAAGTTAAGAATTATGATAAAGTTATCTCTATGAATTTTTTAATGTCAAGAACATACAATTATAAAAAAAAAGTGATTAAGCTTGCTAATAGCTGTTTTGTGAAGTTCTTTGGTTGTGCAAGTGGATCACTTTGGCCATGTCTTGACATCATGTGTTTCTAAATGTTGATGAACTTCTAGGATTGTATGAATTATCTGGGTACGTATAAAGGTAATCAATATATCAGCTCTAGTGATGGACATGAAACGCATCTTGTTATTTTCAACAATCTCAGCACTTTTAATTAATATTTTAAAGATGTATTATGATTTTTTTTTCTCAACATAAGCTTGTGCTTTGTATATAAAGAATAGCAACTATAGGCTTTTAGAGAAGACAAAGCAGGTATGATTGTTACTGAAGACTTTTTCATTTGTTGCTGATTTCCATATGTTAATTTGTGGCCCACTCATAATTAATTGTTCGATAGATTTTTCATCAAATGTTCCACTTCGTAGACAAGTGAGTGCATTTATAGCTGTTGTTTTTCTTGTGTATATCTGTTCTAATTTGTTTGTGGTTAAAGTAGGTAAAACTGAAATTGCATATAAACATTTATATGAGAGCAAGTCCCAATGAATAGAGCAGGCTAACTTCTGTGAAGATAAGCACATAAAGCCATTATCTCAAGCATGTTTCCAGATGCATTGCTGCATAGCACTGCAATACAGTAATGACTTGGGAAATATTTGAAAGTTAGATCTGAAAAATGGTTTCCCCTGATTAAAAGTTGCTAACATAAAAATAATGAGATACCTCTGGAAGAGATGTATATGGGGGAGGTCTGGAAACACAGAGATTCCAAATATGGTTGCTGGTTTACTGAAACTTTAAATGCTAATATTTACACATCAGGACGTCTGAAGGGCATTATTACATTGAAGAAAACTGGTACTGGAACAAAAATTGCACAGGAAGGAATATGCTAAGCAAACATTTAGCTAGACATTGTAGTATTTCCTATTTCTTTTTTTGGTTTAAGGAAATATTTTGTTTCCTTTGCATTGTAGTAAAGAAAAGAGAGAGAACAAAAAATCAAGTGCCAACCTAAAGAGTAATGGAGTTCTAATAGTGCATGGTGTGTGTAGGTGTGTGTGTTTGTGGTCTTAGTAGGAATCTGGACTCAAAACTAAACAGAGTTGGGCTGGTTAGTATGTGAATGAAAGATTACCAAGGAATATCAGGGCTTTAAACCAGGTTGGAAAAAACAAACAAAATGAAATAAAACAATGACACAGAGCTGTTAAGAAAATTATATTTTTTTGCCCAACTGGTCACCAGAATTGGAGCTTAATTTGAGGACATCTTTATCTTCTGCCTTCTCAGAGTGCATTCCAGTGCTTGAAGTAACACTCTAGTCATCAAAGGTTATTAAACTATTCTCTCAAAATTATGCAGAATCTCCAAATATCCAAAAGTAGGTCACCTATTTTCATAATAGAAAAGATGCAGGAATCAGTTGAGCAAAAGTAAGTTAATGAACAGAACTAAAGGGTTCTATTTTCTTTCCCAGTAATAGTTGCAACAGATAATTTCAAGAACTCTCCTCTGACTAAAAACCCTATGCTTCATTTTATTTATGTATTCATATAATGATTAACAGGAATAAATATGTAGTAGGTTTGCAAAGATGAATGTCTCATCTTGTGCTTGATAACATGCAAAATAAAGTATTGGGACTATGATGAAGTTGAGATTCCTATTTAAAATGTAGTTCATCTTAATGAAGGAGATGCTGATATAAAAATATAAATAGGTTTTGAGTGAGATTGGAAATATTTGTCCTGTCAATTGCCCAAAATAAAATATTCTAATAATACAGGTAAAACTCGTTTGTCATGGGTTCCAAGGCTGAAGTTTAACCCACATTATTTTTTCTAGTCTAGTAAATGACTAGTATCTGAAAATAAAGGTTTTTTTCCTCTCTTGAATTTTGTCAGCATCTTAAGAGGAGCATTGTCTACTAATTTCTAGATTACATAGTTCAAAGGAAAGCAGTTGCACAATAAAGAGGTTCATGCAATTATAGAATGTGGATTGCAACCATGCAAGCTCATTGAGTGACTCTGAGTCAGTACTTCTGTTTCAGCCCAATGTACCTCACAAGACCATTGTTGTAGAATAAAATAGGTTTTATACTGCATTTAGATGTACATGCATATCAAATTTTTTAAAAAGTAAATATAACATTTTACCCCCCCCCAAAGCAACCTTCAGTTTAAAGCGTACATTTAAAATATTTTCCTCTTCCCATACGTGCAATGTGTCTGTTCTCTTTGCAGTTACAACCTCCAAATATTAAAGATACCCATCCTTGCTTTGATAAACTGTTGACAAAATTTAATTAAGAATGTTTAGAAATCACTGAAGTACTCCCAATAATGTCTCCAGAGCTTGTCATCAGGGAGATTTTACTCTCCTTTGAAAGAATTGTATAGATCTCAAGCTTTAGGAGATTAGATCAAATGTTGATGTAGATTTTTTTTGCCCCAATTTGTTTCTGTTATATTTGAAAAAGCTGTAATAGTTTGATCTGAAAAACTATAACTTGGGGCTAGAACAGCTTAGGGGGTATTGGATACTTTTGTTTATTTATTTAACATATAGCAAACATACGATATTAAACAAAAATAGTTTTGTTTAATATCAGTGTTTGTGAACAAAAGGTATTTAAATCTATACATAATTTCAGCGCTTAGTAGTAAAGGATGTAGTCTTGTTGGAGTGTGGAGAGGTTTATTTAATAAAAAATAAGTAATGAAGAATGGCTATTTTAAAATTTCCCCTTGTATATCTTAGTGCAGTTTAATAATTGTTTTCAACTAGTGAACTTTATTTAATCGCTGTCATATATTCCGTCTTAATAATGTTACCAACTACTGACCTATGGAACCTTTTACTTTTTCTCTTTTATAGTTTCTTTGTCTTAGTCCCCATCAGAACCTTCATTTTGCTTAACTTATAAGACTGAAAAAATGTCTAGAAAAACACTTAATTAAATTTTCTGACATTTTTCTTGATGCTAATATATTTTTGTATTGTACCTTTTAGTTTAAGACCATTTTCCTCCCTGATGAATAGGAATCCTCTTATCTGGACAGTTGTCTTACATCTATTTAAAAAGTAGCAATACAACACGCCCCCCCCCCCCAAATTGCTAATTGGTATTTTTTGGAATTTTTTTCTGTTACACATACACATACAGTATTGTGCAAAAGTCTCAATCTTTTTGAGCTTTAGCATATCTTAGCCTTTTCACCCTGTTTCCCTTGCACAAACGTGGTTTCTTGATTGCTGCCTTTCTGCAGAGACCATTCCTGATGAACTTTTTCAGACAGTAGAAGGGTCAACTTGGCATCCCAATAAAGCTGTCAGATTCTGACCTAGGTCTTTGCTGGACTCTCAAGGAAGAAACTGAGGAACTTCTCATCAGAATTTGAAAGTTTCCTTAATCTTCCAGTCCTATTTTTTTTTTGTCCTTGACCTCTCCTGATTCTCCAGATTTCTTTATAACAGCATGAATACCACATCCTGATTTCCCTTTGAGAGTAGCCTTGCTGAGGCAAAAGTATGGTTTTATCTCTGTCAAATTCTGTGATCTTTGGCATTTTGATTGGAGTGATGTGATTGAAAGTTGGTTTTATTAGCAAAGTGCCAATGAATTACTCTCATACAACATGTGACTATACTGTATGTAATGCTCAAGAATGTCTTGCACAAACTGGTCTAATAGACCTTTTTGCACAGCAGTCATTTTGCCCTGAAATAATAGGGTACATACAGGTGTTAGTAATAATAGTACTTAGGGTTCCATTGCATTTAGATTTATGGGAGCTAGTTATCTGCTGTTGCTCTAGCATAAGGGAAGGTCACACTACATATTTGCCACTTTAGCCTATAGACGCTGTTTTTTCTGTTTTTTTTCTGTTTTTGAATACTGCATACAAATTTCCTATATTTTCTGGTTGTATTCTAATAAGGAAGCTGAGACATAATTATATATGTTCATTATATCATTACTACAATAGCAAATCTAATGTTAACCTAAGACTTTTGCACAGTACTCTCTCTCTCTCTCTCTCTCTCTCTCTCTCTCTCTCTCTGTGTGTGTGTGTGTGTGTGTAAGATCATCATCATCATCATTTTAGCCATTGTCTATCCACTGCAGGATGAAGGCCTCTTCCACATCTTTCCAACCAATACAGTCCTGAGCTTTCTTTTGCCAATTGGGCCTGCAATATTTGCTGATGTTGTCAATCCGCCTTGTTTTAGGTCTCTTTCATGGATGCTTTTTATCAAGTGGGATCAATTCTATGACTGCCCTGGTCTACCTGCTATCAGTTCTTGCTGTGTGACCAGCCCATTTCCATTTCAATTCTTTTAGTTTCTTGATGGTATCGTATACTTTTGTTTGTTCTCTAATCCCTGTGAAGGTCTTTCTATTTTGTCTTATAATGCCGAGCATGCATCTTTCCATGGCTCTTTTGCGCCACTCATAGCTTTTGTATTGATTGTGAGGTTAGTATCCATGTTTCACCAACATATGTTAGAGCGGGTAGCACACACTGATCGAAAACTTTTCTCTTCAGGCATGGGGAGAGGTTGTTCTTGAAAATTATGCTTGGTTTGCCGAATGCCTGCCAACCACATTTAGCACGCAATTCAATTTCCTTTATTGTATCAACTTCCACTGAGATCCATTGGCCAAGATATATGTAGTGGTCTATTGGGTCTAGTTCTTCCCCATATATATATTTTTTTCTTTCTTTGGTGACTTTATTAAACATAACCTGTTTTTTTTTCAGATTTATTTGTAAGCCAAATGGGTGTCCTGCTTTGTGCAGCTCTTGTATGTGTTTTTGTAGCTCCTCTGGGTCTTGTGAGAAGAGAACAACACACACACATAAACATACACACATATCTCCTGTTATAGATGCCAGTGATTTACAGTATCACCATTTTTAACTTCTATTATATCATGATTTTTCAGGTTTCAAGTTATACTAGAAGTTCAGATTATGTGCCACTCTAAACTTTTATCCCAAACCTCATTCTAAAGTGCAAATCTGGACTGATATTTGTAAAGATGATTAATGTATTATACTGTAGTCCATTTATTGGCTAGTACAGGGGTAGGCATCCTTGGTTCTTTTATGACTCTTTTATGCTATGCTGACCCAGGAATTCTGGGAGTTGAAGTCCATGAGTCATAAAAGAGCTAAGGATGCCTACCCCTGGGCTAATAGCTAGTATGTTGTTGTTTTTAAGTAAGATTAACTTGAAAGATCCATATGACAAAGTGCTGAATATTAAGTTCTATAGAGATGTGCAGTGATCTTCATTCAGAACACAAAATGTGATTTGCAATATGTATGGCCCTGATATATCATCTCTAGCGTGAACACCTTACAGAAGCTGTATTTTTTTCTGAGCTTGGCTGGCTGCCCTCCACTGCTAATGCACATTTGGTTTCAAAATGTTCTGATAATATTACATAGTACTACATACTATTCTGGCATGATCTGTAAATCCAGATCTTTGTGTAACCCTAATGTTCAGCACAATGGAAACCCCTGGCTATTGCACATCTGTAGTTCTAGGATTTAGTCATACTTTTTCAGAATAGATTAGTAGCTAATTTTCTCTCTGATAAGCAAGGAATTAACAGATTTGCTTGATTTTTATTTAGTCAATGTGTAATTTACCTTAATTTAAAACTTGTTATATATATTTGTAACTGAAGGTGCTTTATTTAAAGGTGGGGTAAATATGGGACGTTGAAACTATGGTATGTAATCTTGAGAGAAGCTGAAAGCTTCACTGTAATATGTTGCTTCTGTGTTTTAACCCTAGTTTTTGGGGAGGGTGTTGGGTAGAATAAAAAAAACCCATTTACTTCCTATAAATAATTATTTAATTGTTCTACTACTGTTACAGTATGATATAAAATATTCAAACTATTCCATTTTCTTGTAGGAAATATTTTTATCAATTTGTTATAAAATTAGTAACTAATAATGTGCCACAAGTAAGTTACACGGGGTTCCATATTGAGGTAATTTTTGTAAGGTAATTTGTTTTTCTTATAAAATAGGAACTCAGTTAATGTTCATTAATCATGGTTATAATTATTGACTTATGACTTAAAATGTGTTAAACCATTAGGGCTTATTTAAAAATGTAGTTAATGAAATGTTACTATAGTAGTGGCTACAGTATTGATATGCAAAGAGAAGATACTGTGGATTGGGGTAGAGATCAATCAGGCTGTATTTACCTGAGAGAAAGCCCATTTAAATACAAAATCATTTTTAATAAATATATACAGTATAGGCTATCACAATTGGAGCCTTGGGGAGCATTTTTTTCAGTGCCATTGTAACTTCGAACAGTCACTAAATGAACTGTTGTAAGTCGAGGACTACC